TGGCCTGTGCACTGTGAGAGGTCAGCAGAGGTAACTGCCCCGGTGCTTTCAGAACTTAAAAATCACTTAACTGAGTCCACCAACAGAGAGCTTGGCCTGTGAGTAATACACATAAATACCTCCAGCCACAGAGATGCAGTCAGCCCCCCACCTGGCTGTTGCCTCAGTAACACATCTCCAGGAGGATGTTTTTTTAAAGCCAGCATTATTTATCTGGTAGATGGAAGTGGGCCTGTTAAGGCCACACCAGGTCAGCATATGTCTAAGCATGTACTGAAGAACTTAATTAGCTCTCCCTGAGAAGAGAGACTCCCAGTGCTGTTTAAAGGATCGTTATCCTACAGCGAGGTGCCTCGGAGCCTGCTGCTGGGCCTCAGCTTAACAGGGCAAGGCTGCAGGAGTTGGAGGGGGGTGAAAAGTCTCCCCACCCTGCTGAGGAGCAACTGCTGAACAGCCCCAGGAGCGGGAGGGTCGGTGCAAGGGGGAGGCATCACAAAACCACACTGAAACCCAGTGTAGAGAACCGAATTGAGGTCTGGGCTGTCCTGTCACCTTTTGGGGTCAAACGGTGCAGGTCTCATTATTCTGTTGGTTTCTAGAGATCCAACGTGCCCTGCTTTGCTGTGACTGCTTCCCAGGGAATTCCAGGGCTGACAGGACAGTGGAGTGATGTAAGTGTGGAGTGAGCCGCTGGCAAGTGTCTGCCACTGATCCTTATGACATCCTGTAGGCAGGAGTTTAACATCACCAAAGCTGGACCTTGTGCAAGTGGCTCAGACACAGTTTTCCTTTATGAGGCCAAAAATCAGAGGCTGTAAACTGGATGCCAATAAGAGAGTGTGACAGGCTCCCCGAGGATGGATGGGGTTTTTTTATTCTGGCAGGAGACAGAATATCCATTCTTGAATGGATGGACTTCAGGCAAACCTGGCTCAACTGCCTCTGAAGGATAAAACAGGGTCCCAAGCATGTCAAAGCTTGTTTAAGGACTGGCACTCACCAGGGACACTGAGGCTGGATTGCTGGAGAGGGAGAATCCTGGACATGCTTGTTTTGACCTAAGAGTGGCTGATGCACCACGTGAGACCTTGGTCTGCTCCTGGAGCTGTCAGGAGCTGTTCCTGGATGAGTTGTTATGGTAACTGAGCTAATGCCCTGAGATAGATGCTTTCAGGTGGCTCCAGGCCAGAAAATCAACACCAGTAGATTCCAGATAATAGACTTCTGCTAAACTCAGTGCTGGCATCTACTTTATTTAACCTATTCACCAGTGACTCCCTGAACTCCATTCTCCAGGCAAGCCATATAGGATGACAAAAGCTGCTTGGCCTCAATGAACCTCGACTTCCAAAAGGCTGAGGGAACCCATGTGCTGTGGCTGAGCTGTGCCAGTAAATTAAATGTGCCTGGGACTTTCTCCTGCACTGAGGGGACAGCTGGCACAGAATGGCCAAGGATTATGTGTTAAATTCCTACCACCCAAGCCTGTGTGGAAACATCCAGACAGCCCATGAGGAGCAGTCCCTGGCCCACACTGGCTCCTGAAAGGCCCCTGGACTGGGCCAAAACTGCAGTGCAATGATCCAGCATTGTAACAGAGATGTCCAGGCATTGCTTAATTTATTAGCACAGACCATGCATGGGTGACTGAGCAGGAAAGGAGCCTGGAACCAAGTGCAAAGGCTCTGTCAACGTTCTTGTGCTTATACCACACCCAGATCCAGCTGTTAGGAATAGGCAGTGATAGGGATCCAGCACATCTAAGGATCACTCTGGATCACCCACTGACATTCTCTGTTGGAAACAGTTCCTGGATTAAGAGGTGGATTCGCCATTTCAAGGCAACATCCCTCCATCTGCCATTAAACATCAAAACTCAGCCCACAAACGGCCAGCAAGGAGCAGCTCATTCCACACACCCACCATCCAGCACCGCTGCTGACTGTCCCAAGGAGTCAAACCTGACTTTGGTGCTCCCCAGCACGCAGCCAGCAAAGAGCAGCCCACGAAATCCAGGAAGGACCGTGCCAGTTTCAGGAACTCCCACGGCACCAGCAGAGCAGCCGGGCAGCTCCCCGGCGCTGGCGCCCTGCGCCACCTCCGCCTCCAGAGCGAGCCAAACGGGTTCTGCCGCAGCAGTGCCAGGGCTGAGCACGCCTCGGGCACTTGGGACAGCCCCTGCATGCCTGGCTGGGTGCTCCTGCACCCTAGCTGGGTGGGTGCTCCTGCCCCTGAGCTGGGTGAGTGAGCTGGGTGGGTGCTCCGCTCACGCCGAGACTCGCTGGTGGTCTCCTCTGGGGCTCTGAGATGGCTTGAACTGAGCCGAGCTGGGGCATTTCTCTGCTTGTTCGCTGCCATTTTAATCCTCGCTGTGCTTGTTTAACCCACTTGCAAACCACGCTGTTGTAATATGTCGCTGTTTTGCGGTGTGTTCCTTGCTCAGCCTCCGCTGCACCAGCGCTGCGGCCTCAGTCAGCGCAGCACTGGTGTGACTTACAGGCTCTGCACAGGGGGGAATTGCACCCTCAGTGGGTGGGATATTCCCAGTTCTGGCCTGCCCATGTGTTTTCCCAGGGCAAAGGGTCGTGTTGACTGAACTCCAGAATGGCTTTGCTCGAAGTTTTAAACGCTAAGGTGCAAATAAATTCTCAGCACTAGCTAGCACACTGATCCCTCTCCTGCCAAGCTGCTGCCTTAAGTGAATTTTTATGACTAAGTTTAAACCCCAGAAAACACGAGCAAGAAGTGGAAATGCTGACTTGGCCTTTGCTAAATGCCAATTATCTACAAAGGCATTAAGAGGGGAGGGGAGGATGAAAAATAGGGTCATTTTCATGTTTTCTCGAGTTCAAAGCAAACTGTCCCATGAGCCTGTTGTAGGAACAGACAGCATGCAGAGTGACCATTAATATTTATGGACACGACACTGAGCTGCAGACCTTGGCAATCACAGCAACTCCACTTTTGGAATTAATATTGCTCTGCTTGGCTGGCACCTCAGTACAAAAGAGTAAGTAGAAGGCACCAAGATTTTCAGGGAGAACTGAAGAAGTAGATGCTGACCTTCGATGGGGAGGGTCGATCGCTTCACTGGGTCGGTGAAGCACTAAAACCAGCTCTTAAGTCCTCAGGGTTGTTGGCCAAACACAGCACCATGTTCTCCCTCCTCTCTGCTCCTGTGGCTCCTGGACAGACCAGTGTATTTCCAAGGACGCTATGGGAGCAACACGGATTTATAATACCTAAAATTCTGCCCAAGTAATCTTAGGGCTCAAATTGGACCTCATTGAATCTCATTTGCAATGCAACACTTGCCTTCTCCCACTCTGTATTTCCAAACTCCCAGTGGCAGGGAGAGACAGAGCCCTCCAAAACCCTCTGAAACCTCCGTGTGCTGAGGATCTGCCAGCTTGCTGAGTCACAACGTGACCTCAGCCCAGGACTGTCCTGAGCAGGGTGGTGACTGCCCAGCCACACACAAGCACATCTCAGAAACACCTGAGAGAACTGTGCTGGCAATAAGAGATTGGCCAAAGGTTCTTGTCAGGAGCCAGGAAGGTTTTCAAGAAATGCAAGGAGGAAACTATTAGAAATCCCACTCCCTTTTTCACGGACTCACGAAAATTGAGCTGGGACTTTGAGCAACAGGCTCTGAATTTTCAGAAATGGCCACAGACTTCAGGTGGGCACCCTGCACTCAGCACACCTGGGGCAGGATCTCCTGGTGAGTTTTGCATTGCTGCAGTTACACCCTGCTTTGGCAGCATGTGGGAAGGTGCACAAAATGTTATGGAAATCAGGCATCTGCCAAACGAGTACTCCATCAGCTGAGACCTTCCAAATCCCTTTTTTTTTTTTTACTCCCAAGAATTCAGGCTGTACAATTTAGGAAAATAAATACTGCAAACAACAACAAATAAAAGTGCTCCTGCCATTAAAAACAAGGTGGAAAGGAGGAGCTGAGCCAAGTTAATCAGAGAGCTGAAATGAGATGTTGGAGAAAGGGGCCGTGGGTGACTTGGGGTTTGCACTGAGCTGAGCAATGTGAAATCTCTTGTGTCTGGCTGAGCTCTGAAAGGAAATGCTTTATTAAATCTTCTTTGTGTGAGACTTCAAGCTGCCTCTGGACTGGAAAATAGGACCATTCCAGTATGTGGCATATAATCAGGAACTGAAGTCCTTAGTGCAGGTTTTTCTGCCGAGGAAACTCTGATCAGCATAGACACATAACTCAGAGGGCTCAGGATTGAGAAAGATGAATTAGACACAACACACCCCTGCACTTCTTCTACCCAGTATCCCCAAAATGCTTCACAGAATTAATCATACTGGCAGCAACAACCAGGCATTAGGAAAGACAGCGCAGGTGGGCATAAATTCACCACACTGAATCGAAACTGTCCTGTGGGCCAGCGGGTCCCAGGTCCATTATCTCAGCTTTCATCCCCTCTGGAACATAATGCTTGCCATGATTGATCTCCTGTGCACTGGCTATCCTGGGAGTCTCAAGACTCACTGTACTTTCTGCTGCAATTTGGACGCGTTTTGGGCAGCTGCAGCCTCTTGCCATCCCTGGATCTTTGCTGTAAGCTGGAGACTCACAGCTCTTCCCTGTCACAGCAGGACTGTGCCACCCCCAAACACCTGCAGAAAGTATTTACTACGAAGAAACGGAGAGAGACAGGCACAGCAAGAAAGGATGAGGACAAGGGAGAGGTTCCCACATCTCACAATCTCCCTTGCCCTTTCTCACATCTTGTCCCCCCCCTCTGTGCTTGGCCACATAGCCAGGAAAACGAGACAGGACAGGCACTATCAAGCAGATTCCCTCCTCCTCTGGCCCCCTTATTTCACACCGCAGCAGGTCCGGACATGAAGAGCCTGGAATCTCGATCCTGCTGGGAATGGCAGGGATTGAGCTCCTGATCTGCTGCCTGCAAACCCCGGCGGGAAAGCTGAGACACAGCGAGCGTCTCCCCACAGCACAACGAGCTTCTTGCCTACCTTTTATTGCTGACAAGGAGGAGGACAGAGCCATTCTGGATATTGGCCTCTTTGAGAGTCTCGTGCTCCTCCAGCTGCCTGGAGTTGTAATAAAACGTCTTCTTCCAGGAAGTGACGCCCTCCCGCACCAGGAGAGCCCGCAGGTCCATCACTGTGTCCCTGGGCCTGACCGTCAGGGGCATCATCAGGTCCTCGTCAGCCAAGTGCACCTTGATGTGGTACCTCTTCCAGCGGGAAAGGCTCCGGCGCAGCGTGTCCATCCTCTCCAGCTCTCCAGGGCCAGCGTGCTGGAGAGGAGCATCCAGCTGGGAGGTCGGCAAGGCAGGGATGTGGCTCCGAAGAGCCCGTGGTGTGTCTGCTTCGAACAACTTAAAAGTGTCCTGCCAAACCTGTTCCTCCCGGTTGCTGCGCCGCATGCTTCGCATTCCAGGGAAGAGCTCACCTGGCTCCATCAGCCTGCTGGCTGGGAAACATCTCCATGAATCATTTCCACACGCCCCTCAATCCCATAATAATTACAGCGTCTTCACGAAGTGCTCTTCATTCCAATGGCTCTCAGAGGACTTTAAAGCTGGATCTCCACAGCCATTAGAAACGTGGGTGCATGTGAGAAATGAATGGGTTTAGCAACCTCGTGTCTCCTGCTCTGAAAAGCTGCCAGCTGGGGAGAAGACCTGTTGGCAAAATAGGCATTTAGGAACTTCACAGCTATTTAACGTGGCCATTTTAATGAAGAAAAGTACGCTGCATGGTGGAAAATTAGGGCCTCATTGCAGTCTACAGGTTCCTCATGAGGGGAGGTGGAGGGGCAGCTCCGATCTCTTCTCTGTGGTGACCAGTGACAGGACCCAAGGGAAGGGCTGGAGCTGTGTCAGGGAGGTTTAGGTTGGATATTAGGGAAAGGTTCTTCCCCCAGAGGGTGGTGGGCACTGCCCAGGCTCCCCAGGGCAGTGGGCACGGCCCCAAGGCTGCCAGAGCTCCAGGAGCGTTTGGACAACGCTCTGAGGGACAGGGGGGGATTGTTGGGGTGTCCTGGGCAGGGCCAGGAGTTGGACTCAATGATCCTTGTGGGTCCCTTCCAACTCAACATATTCTGTGATCCTGTGAAATTCCTGACAGAGGAGAACCAGAGCCCCCTGAAGAGATAAAGCCTGGCTGTGTGAACACCCCTCAGCAGCGCAGATTTCCCCAGGAGGTCTGTACAGTCACTGTACACAAACAGCCTGGGACCCTCCAGAAGGGGTAGGACTCACTCACTGCTCATCATACCCTCAGATAGCTGATACTGACTCACACGTGCTCCTCGTTGCTTCATCATCTTGATTTCCTCTTCCTCTCAGATCCCTGCCTAATTGCAGGGCTGATCGTATCCTGCTCGGCACGTGAGTGGGATCAGCGTCACGGGGCTCCAGGCACACCAGGAAAACCGGGAACAGAAGCCTTGGAGCACCGAGAGGAACAGGCAACACTTTGGGAAACACAAGGACACCTCCAAAAGGAAGGAAGTGATGCCAGCCACGAGAGCCGGCTGTCATTGACTGATCCTGCCAGGCACACTCTGGCAGTCACAAGATGATACTTCAGAGCAAACACCATCAAGATAAGGAAGCCTTTTTTTCTCTTTTTCTCAAAGAGATCAAGTCACCCTCTTATCTTGTAGGTAACTTCCTGCAGCCCATATTACAGGAATTAATTCCCTCATCCATTCTTCTTAACACAGAGACCGGTATTTTCAGACCGAAGTGCTGCGAGACAGTTGAGTTCAGAGTCTGCTCTTCACTAAAAAGGAGCTGCTCTTGCCCAGCAGATAACAAAACAGCCTGATTTTCAGATATGGCAGAAGGCAGCTCCCACTGAGAACAAAAGAAGTGTCCACCCTCCAATGGAGGAACAAGGTTTCCAGCCTGTCTTCACCCCCCTCTTTTCCATCCCCAGCACGTTATGCCTCTGCCAAGAACAGCAGCAAAATACCTCCAGTTACCCCACGGGCAGTGGAGATTTTCTTGTGCATTTAAGAAGAACTGAAGCTTCTGCTCACAACATTTTCTCCCCATCTTGGGTCACTCCAAAGGTATGATTGTTTTGGTGGGGTGTGGGATTCCTGGGTCCTCGCTCTGCCGCTGAGTCGCTTCAAAGGCTTGAGGTGAGTCATGGCACGCCTTGGTGTTTCTGTTTGCTCACCTTCTAACACGTGTAACTCGTGTCCATTAAGGGTTTTGCAGGGAACAGGAACTGCTCTCAGCTCAGTCATGGTCTGGGAGCATTTAAAAATGCCTGGATCTGCAGAGGTGTCAATAATTCTCTCAGGCACGTGGTGTGACTCTGGGGGTTAGTCCTGTGCAGGGCTAAGAGTTGGAGTCGATGATCCTTGTGGGTCCCTTCCAACTCAGCATATTCTGTGATTCTGTGAATGCTGATGGCAGGACCACATCACCCCTATTAGAGAAGGAGAAACTGAGGTGCAAAGCTGTTATAATTAAAAAGTAAAGGTCAGGCTCTGGTCCCATATCCAGGTACCTCAGTGAGGAGTCTCTTTTCAGAGACTTACAGAAACTTCCAAGCCCAGGGGCCTGGTGATCCCTGCTCCGTTGGGGTGACATTCACTTGGAGAGCCAAACTTCCTCATCCCTGGTGTGCAGCCAGAGCCTCAGGGGTACAGCAAGGGGCTGATCCAGCTCCCAGTGCCATCCAAGGGCAGGCTCTCATTGATGGCAGCCAGACCTGGATGAGGCCCCAGACACACCGAGGTCTGCTGGCTCTGGCCAAGAGGATTTGCCAGGTGAGTGCCAAGGGGAGCAGAAGGCATCCTCATCTCAGCAGAGCCTGTCTGGTGTCAGGGAGTCCATCAGCTCCATCCTCCCAGCATATGTGACAGCCTGACAGCTGCCAAAAACCTCCCTCAGACACCTTTCAGACAGTTCCTGGTTATTTTTAGGACAGCTCTTTCCCATCAAGGCTCAGATGAATATCATTATACGGAAAGGGGGGGATGGTGGCAGGAGGAAAACACACGGATATTATTTTTATTTCTTTGCCTGTGATGTGGCTGCAAACTTTCCTCACAAACCCCCATCTGCCCACACTGGGACTCTGCGTTTTATGAACAGGGATGATACCCCAGCCTAGGAGAGCAGGATAAGGAGAAGCACAGCAGTGAAGTCAGCTTATGAAATATTGAAGTAGTGAAACCCTCACTGGAACACGTGAATGTCTAATGCCAGTTTCAATTAATTTTGAATTTTTCATTAAACCATTATTAAAAGCAAGAGGACAGCAGAAATAAGGGAAATTGACTTGGGCAGTATATTAAGTACCTTAGTTTTGCTGGAGGATGTTTTATCATCTGTCCAAAGCAATTATTTCACCAGCTCCTGACGGTTTGTGGGCTAAACAGAGACAGAATAAAGTTCTAGATGGTCTTTCCTCTGAGTTATTTTCATTTCTGTCACCTGTCCTGCACCTGGCAGCCTGTTTGGGTGGTGTCTCTGGCACATCAGCTCTGGAGGAAAAGACATGGAGTCAGAGTTCTGGGGATCTGTGATAATGTGTCACTCTGGCATTATTTACAAATCAAATAAAAACTTGTTGACTTAAAACTTTTCCCCATATTGAGGGCAAACAAAAAACATAGAAACATTCAGAGACATTCATTAGGAAAGCCTGAAAAGCAATTTAAAACCCAGGTGGGCTGTGATGCTTTTATGGGGGGGAAGAAATAAAGCAACAGCATTTATCAAATGTCTTCTGCTCTCAAAGCTTCCTTACTCCCTTGACTGGAGCAAAAGAGAAACACCTGCCTAAATCAGGTGCTTTATTAAGACATCTCAAGCTGGTTGAGATGATCCTGGGCCCTAATATTTTATAATGCCAGAATAGAGAGCAGAGCCTGTAAGGCTTTGAGGAACCACCTAATTCCTCAGTGCCACAGATATCTCAGGTGATGGGGCATTGATATTTATATTTCTGAAGTCCCAGAGGCCCCAACTAGGGCTGTACCACCCCGTGCCAAGATGAGTAGGGCCCTTCCTATCACTCAGTGCTTTCCTCCTCCTGAGATGTGCTTGGTTATGAAATAACTGGGCTCACTTTATATGTCAAGTTCCATCTACAGCAAAAGGAACAAAGAGCTAATAAATGATTAATAAAAGCTTGGAGAAATGAGTAATTAAATGCAACAGCTTTTTAGAGTCCAGTGGATAAGCACAAAATATGTAAGCCCAAGTGATAACACTTTCTCTTGATATAACTTATCTGCAGCACACTGCTCACATCTGCAAGAGGGCTCAGGAACACCATTAACTTCTTGTGCACCAGGAATAAAGAGAGCCTTTCTGTGAGGGAGGAGCACTTCTCCTGGGGATTAGGACAAAATCCTCGTTGTTTAGGTCATCTGAAATCCAGAAAAACTGGAAGGTGCTTATGTTAACGTGTATGGGAGGTGTGAGTGATGAGGGAAGCTCCAATATCCCCTCCTTGCCTGGCATGGGGGGAAATCTCCCCACCATTCGGCCCTGTTCTAGACCAGTATAAAAGATTTTTTTAAAAAGGATGGAGTTTGATTGTAGTTTAATTTCTTTCTGGTACAAACGAGGATTCCTGCCACTAAAGCAGTTGAAGTCACCAAGTCAGACAGATCCTGCTGCAAGTACCCAAATCAGACTCCAAAAGGCCCCACAATTGTCCTGGCTGGCTGCCCAGCAACAATATTGCATGAGGGCTGGTGGACTGGGTTTGGCATGGGATTGAACTTCAAACAGGCTCCAGAAGAAAAAAAAAAAAAAATGTATATTCGGTTCTGAAGGATCAAACCTGCCTGGTTTTGGAACACAAATGAACCTGGAAGTTTCCTGAGCAAAAGTTGGATGTGAGTTGGTGGCATTTTCTGGTGGAAAAGGCAACGTGAAGGGAAAAAAAAAAAAAACCAGTAACGCACATGTTAAATGAACCAGTCAAGTGCAGACAATGGAAAAGCTGAAAAATGAGTATGGAGGAAAGCATTTTGTGGTGGTAGCTATTTCTCACTGCAGTTCTTTATAACTTCCCAGATGAGAGATTCATGACCCTCAGAAGGAGTCTGTATCCTCCAGGGTTTGTCCTGAGGCAGCCCATGACTCACTCATTGCCAGGGCTGGCAAGAAGCTGAGGAACAAGCAAGACAACAAAATGGTGGTGGAAGCAGCAAAGCAAGAGACAAATTAATTAATTGCTGAAAGAGCAAAAAAAAAATGAACTTCTGTGCACCAAGAAGGGCCCAAATGGAGTGAGAGTGAATGCACAGGAGCTGCCATCCCAGGCATCCAGCTCCATTCCTTCCAGGTGAAACACATTCAGGTGCCTCGGTCTTCAAAGGTGAGGAAATAGAAGATTTGAGTTTCTACGAGCCATTCCAGCTGCTGCACGATTCTTTTCCAGGATGAGAGAGGATGAGAGGATCTGTGGATCTGCATTGCCATCTAACGGCAAGAGAGAGCTGGAAGCGCTCGCCGGGGCCAGCGATGGGCTGGAACAGCAAAAAGCAAAGAGGGAGCGGATGATCAGCACAGATTGTCCTTTGCTCTAAAGGCAAATCCTGCCTCTGTGACTGAAGGGTCTCACCGGGGAAGGGCAGCCCAGAGAAGGGAAAGGCAGCCAAAATCTTGCAGCAGATGCTGCTGATTCCTCCTCTTCTGGCGTCCTCTCCGTTCTGTACTATCCAGGAATGTTAACAGGCATTCAGGGTGGGATTTGCTTTCTTCTGCTGTATCAGATGCTGGTGGCAAGACAGGCATATCTCAGGGGCTGAGTGAATTCTGCC